AAATACAGGAAGCTTTCTTTCCTCCCTGAACGTAAACAAAGTCAAAAGTAACCATAGTAAATAGGCAGGCCACCCCTACAAGCTCAAACTCTCAAAAAGTTGCAAATATACGTGGACATTTGGACCGTAATAAAGTTTGTTCGTCAGCCGGAGAAGTAGGGAAATCCAGAAGCTCTCCACTCCCAGCAGAAGTCGCACTAATAATGAGCACCTCGAACTCAGTTGGAAGTTCTGTTGTTATAGCTCTCAAGAACTGCAGCCAATCAGAGCCTGGAATTAACATTGGAGCCTATGGGGTAAGTAAAAACTGCACAAGTAGATGGAGCCAAGATAAAGCACATGCAATGTGCAACAAAAATAAATAAATAAATGTTAGTCGTAACACTCAGATGAACTGGAATGAAAGTAAAATTGTAAAACCTATTTTCGTACAATTAGAAGTAAGCTTGTACACACAGTCTTTCAGTTGAGTGTTGTTATGTGTTTGGTGCGCAGGTCGAACTGGCTGAAGCCGTGCTGCGGGAGAAGAGCTGCGCTGTGGCAGGTGTGTTTGCTGAGCGCCGGGTTCAACTGTTTCCTGGTGGCCTGCGTCATCCTAGTGGTGCTCCTACTGACTCTGGAACTGCTCATCGATACCAAGCTCCTGCAGTGTGAGTATTACACAGCGTTCACACTGTAAAACAATGCTGTGTTCCACACGATCCATTTGTGTTGGGTCAACATGAAGTAAATTATGTCAACTTACTAGTTTTTACAAACTGAAGTAGATTGATTTAAAAAAAAGTTTTCCAAAAGAAATGTGTTTCAGCTCAATTTAAACAAATAGTCTTAACAAACAGCACATGTCTAGTGTCACTAGCATTAGACCATTTCTTCACAAAAACATTTGTAAATGAGAAGTACCTTTCATTTTTAGATGAACTGACCTGTTCAGTTGCATTTATTCAGAAACTGGTTTACACTGGTCACACTACAATTTTAGAACTGGAATTAGAAAAGAAATCTGATCACACTTTTAAATTTGTTTGGGAACTGGTTGTTTTGATAAAAAAATTATAATGATGACTAATTCCCAAGAGTCGTTCATGGAATCAGAGTCACTGGAATCAGAAAGTATCTTGATTTCAACCATAATTAGTAATACTTTATTGTTCAGAAAATTAAAACTGTTTGAAATTTTTTTTTTTTTAAATATTTGGACTAGAATCCAGATAAAAACTCTAAGTGAAGAAACATTTTCTAGGCCAAGATGATCAGTCAGAGATCAGATGAGTTTTTTTCTTAAAGGAGGTTCTTAAAGGAACACTCCACTTTTTTGCATATAGGCTTATTTTACAGCTTTCCTAGAGTTAAACAATTAAGTTTTACAATTTTTAAATCCATTTAGCTGATCTTCGGGTCTGCCAGGAGCACTTTTAGCTTAGCTTAGCATAGATCATTGAATCAGATTAGACCATTAGCGTCTCACTCAAAAATAATCATAATTTCAGTAATATTTTTGTTTCAATATTCTTGAATAATCTTTCTTTTTCAATAAGCAAACAATCTTCAAGTATGGTGCACTTTTAGCTTAGCTTAGCATAGATCATTAAATCAGATTAGACAATTAACATCCCTCAAAAATGACCAGTTTCAATAATCTTTGTTTCAGAAATCTTCAATAAGCTTTCTGTTTCAATGAGCAGCTGATCTCAAGCTATGGAGCACTTTTAGCTTAGCTTAGTATAGATAATTGATTCAGATTAGACCCTTAGCATCTTGCTCAAAAATGACCAGTTTTAATAATCTCTCTGTTCCAATAAGCAGTTGATTTCCAGGTATGGAGCACTTTTAGCTTAGCTTAGCATAGATCATTGATTGGGATTAGACCATTAGCATCTCGCTCAAAAATGACCAGTTTCAATAATCTTTCTGTTTTTATAAGCAGACAATCTCCAGGTATGATGCACTTTAAGCTTAGTTTAGCATAGATAATTAATTCGGATTAGAACATTAACATTAACACATTAACATCATTAACAAAAATGACCAGTTTCAATAGTCTTTGTTTTAGTAGTCTTCAATAAGCTTTCTGTTTCAATGAGCAGGCAATCTCCAGCTATGGAGCACTTTTAGCTTAGCTTTGCATAGATAATTGATTCAGATTAGACCCTTAGCATTTCACTAAAAAATGACCAGTTTTAATAATCTCTCTGTTCCAATAAGCAGTTGATTTCCAGGTATGGAGCACTTTAAACTTAGCTTAGCATAGATAATTGATTCGGATTAGACCATTATCAAAAATGACCAGTTTCAATAGTCTTTGTTTCAGTAGTCTTCAATAAGCTTTCTGTTTCAATGAGCAGGCGATCTCCAGCTATGGAGCACTTTTAGCTTAGCTTAGCATAGATAATTGATTCAAATCAAACCATTAGCATCTCGCTCAATGTTGAGTTTCAATAATCTTTGTTTAAACTTATGTATTTTCTAATGCAGTGGTTCTCAAACTTTTATCATCAAGTCCCACCTTAGAAAAAATTGTTTCTCCAAGTACCACCAACATGAGCAGTATTGAAATACAGTAGCGTAGTAGGCCCAATAAAGCAGCTACAACTCTGCACAGTTAAAAAACGTGGCAGATTACCTCAGAAATATAGGCTATATGTCATATATGGCACATTATATCCATCATTTTTGATAAATTTTGAAATGTGTGTAGCATGTACATGGAATATATCATTCCTCCGCGTACCACTAAAGGAAGCCTGCGTACCACTTGTGGTACACGTACCACAGTTTGAGAACCACTGTTCTAATGTATATTCTAATGTAACACCACTGTACTGGTTACAGCCATGGTATGGCAGCAAAGTTCCTTCAATATTACGCCATAATTACAGTATAGTTCTTAGCCATATCAACCTAGAAATTAGCAAAATTTCATAGTTAATTCACGATGTAAGTACAGAAGATTTTGTAAGAGCTTTAAACAGGAAAAATAACAAAACTAGCAATTTTTAAACAACATGCTAATGGTCAAATCCGATTCAATGATCTATGCTAAGCTAACCTAAAAGTGCTCCAGAGACTTCTGAATGGGTCCAAAAATGGTAAAGCACAACTGTTAAGCTCTCGGGGAGATGATTTGAAGTGTCCTTATAAGGAAAAACTCACTCATTATTTCTAAAAACAAAACAATATTTATACCTAAAATGCTTCTTGATTTAAGTATTTGTGGATATTTGGACTAGAAACAAGACAAACTTCAGCTAATCACTCAAGAATGGCAAATGCTAGTCATTTTCATTCCCCATAGGAGCACATTATAAATCTGAGCGCTGATCCTCATTCATACTCTGAGTGTGCGCTAAAGAGAGATCTGACACCAGCATACGTCAGCCCATACCGCCGTCTTTACAAAGTCCTGATGGACAGACAGAGGGAGGGAGGGAGGGAGGAAGGAGAGACGGATGAGAGCGGAGGGAGGAGTGCAGGATTAATGGACGGAGCGACTGAGGGAGATGAATGGGCCGATGGACAGATCAGTGAACAGAGCAAACTAAGACATATGGGCCAAGAGAGGGTGAGAAGTGAAGGCAGTAATAGAGCGGATAAATAGACAAATGCAGGACACGGATCAGTGCAGGATCATATCACTGATGTCTAATGCGATGTAGACATCACTGATATATGCCCCATGTTGACATCTAATGTAATCAGATGCTCACATGGAGGGATGTTTAGATTTATTCAGCTTTTTATATGATTTTTGTTATATGACTTTTGGATATTTTAGTCAAATAAATAAAAAAAAAAACATTATTTTTGCAGTTTATTTTGACTCATTTAAAATGAGCTTAAACAACACAGTTCTGATGATTTTTTGGGGGGAGAAACTTTATTTTTAGTTCGGTCTACTTTATGTATCTAATCGATTTGTGTCGGGACAACATGAAAATTGTTTGGAACCCTGCATTTTTTGCAAGGTAAAAAAGATGGTGCTTTGACAAACTGATTAACTTAATAGTTTTTACAAATTGAAGTACACTAACCGGCCACTTTATTAGGTACACTTTACTAGTACCTGGTTGGACCCTCTTTTGCCTTCAGATGTGCTTTAGTCCTTCGTGGCATAGATTCAACAAGATGCTGGAAATATTCCTCAGTGATTTTGTTCCATATTGACATGATAGCGTCACACAGTTGCTGCAGATTTGTTGGCTGCACATCCATGATACGAATCTCCCGTTTCAACACATCCCTAATGTGCTCTATTGGATTGAGTTCTGGTGACTGTGGAGGCCAATTCAGTACAGTAAACTCTGTCATGTTCAAAAAAACAGTCTGAGATTATTCGAACTTTAGTACATGGTGTGTTATCCTGCTGGAAGTAGCCATGAGAAACGGGTACACTGTGGCCATAAAGGGACTCTACCATGTAAATGTCGCAGTGGAAATCGACTCCTCAGACCAGGCAACATTTTTCAATCTTCTATTGTCCAGTTTTGTTGAGCCTGTGTGAATTGTAGCCTCAATTTCCTGTTCTTAGCTGACAGGAGTGGCACCCGGTGTGGTCTTCTGCTGCTGTAGACTATCTGCCTCAAGGTTGGATGTGTTGTGTGTTCAGAAATGCTCTTCTGCAGACCTCAGTTGTAACGAGTGCTTATTTGAGTAACTGTTGCCTTTCGATCAGCTGGAACCAGTCTGGCCATTCTCCTCTGACCTCTGGCATCAACAAGGCATTTTCACCCACAGAACTGCCGCTTACAGGATTTTTAATCTTTTTCGGACCATTCTCTGTAAACCCTAGAGATGGTTGTGCGTGAAAATCCCAGTAGATCAGCATTTCTGAAATACTCAAACCATCAACCATGCCACATTCAGTCACTTAAATCAGTGGTCCCCAACTACCGGGCCGCGGACCGGTACCGGTCCGTGGAACAATTGGTACCGGGCCACATAAGAAATCATTAATTATTTCTCTGCAAAATATTTCCCCCTGCGACTTGGTTTCTTCCACTCACCCCCGCCATCTCATGTGAAATGGACTATGCCAAAATCGACCACGGAGCGGGAAGAACGATCGCTAGAATAAAGCTCAGTGGTGGTTGTTGATAGTTTAAAGTTATAAAACAGGTATTATAGAGTGCAAATCAGCAGAGTATTTAAGGATTGTGCATATATATATGTGTGCGTGCATCGCTAAGTACCCACCCGAAATCACTGCAATATGTATCTATATGGAGTTTCACACAATCATGCTCATTAGGGCTATAACATGTCAATGCATACATTTAATTCGGCTATACGATTGTATTACTGTTAATATGTTCATCAGTTGAAATGTTTGGCACAGATATTATGTATTTGATGCAAATTAACCTTGATTGAAACATAATCAGACCGCGATAGTGCAACTAGTGCATGCGCACTGAGTTGTTCATGATTAACCTGGATGCACGAGCACTTCACGTGAAGTTATAGTTTATATGAACTATAACGTTTACCCGTTTTTTTTTAGTCTGCATGTAATAAAATTATCATTTTTATTTAAACAGCAATTATTACTAATCAGCATTATTCTAATATAAGTCAATATCACCTTTTAATTATATCATGTAATGCAGTCTTTGTGCAAATAAAACTATTCGTTATTTAATAATAAAAAAGAAAACATGTTTAAGAATCATTTGACTGTTATAACCAGAATAACTAAAAGCGTGTTGCCTTGTGTCCACAGTTAATAATGCATTCCAGTTTGCCTGTATCATCCACTGGATCAGCCTGGTCATCCTGTCTGTGTTCTTCACTGAGGTGAGTGTTTGATGAACTACACATCTTCTGATAAAGCCACTCTAATAATTATTTACTTTTGAGAGGAGATCCTAATAATGTCTCATATTATTCATATAATTTAGGCACAATAGGGCCAGAGCCCATCAGAATTCTGCCAAAGCCCAACAAGTACATTTTGATTGACAGCTTTTTAAAGCCTGAACCCGTTTACAGCCCGACATTATTCAAATGTGCACATGCACACAGCTCTTTTGCCTTTTTTCAAGAATGAGTCATTTATATGTGTTTTAACATTATTTATAACAAACGTTTAGGCCACTTAGAAGTTGGAACAAATAAATAAAATAAGTCCTCTGTAACATCGTAATATCTCAGCACTCTAAATCGGCCTAGGTATATACACTTAGCCTTTAAATTGGCTTACACACCAATAAAAATACAGTGCATCCGGAAAGTATCCATAGCACTTCACTTTTTCCACATTTGCTCATGTTACAGCCTTATTCCAAAATGGATTCAATTCAAAGTCACATGTACATCAGTATTCACAGCCTTTGCTCAAGACTTTGTTGATGCACCTTTGGCAGCGATTACAGCCTCAAGTCTTTTTGAATATGATGCCACAAGCTTGGCACACCTGTCTTTGGGAATTTCTGCCCATTCCTCTCTGTAGTACCTCTCAAGCTCTATCAGGTTGGATGGGAAGTGACGGTGTACAGCCGTTTTCAGATCTCTCCAGAGATGTTCAATAGGATTAAGGTCTTGGCTCTGGCTGGGCCACTCAAGGACATTCACAGAGTTGTTGTGAAGGCACTCCATTAATATTTTGGCGGTGTGCTTTAGGTCATTGTCCTGCTGGAAGATGAACCGTCGCCCCAGTCTGAAGTCAAGAGCACTGTGAAGCAGGTTTTCATTCAGGATGTCTCTGTACATTGCTGCATTCATCTTTCCCTCTATCCTGACTGGTTTTCCAGTTCCTGCTGCTGAAAAACATCCCCACAGCATGATGCTGCCACCACCATGCTTCACTGTAGGGATGGTGTTAGCCTGGTGATGAGCGCTGCCTGGTTTTCTCCAAACGTAACGCCTGCCGTTTACTCCAAAGAGTTCAATTTGAGTCTCATCAGACCAGAGAATTTAGTTTCTTATGGTCTGAGAGTCCCATACACACTCATTCACACACATACACTACTGCCAATTTAGTTTGTTCAATTCACCTGTACCGCATGTACATGGACTATGGGAGAAACCCACACAGGGAGAACATGCAAACTCCACATAGAAATGCCACCTGACCCAGCTTGGACTCAAACCAGCTGCGAGGTGACAGTGCCTCCATGCCGCCCCATTTCAGATATATTAAAAGATATATTTTTTAGACTTCTCAACCCCTCATGGACATAAATGCATTTTTAGAGATGCATCTGAGAGCTCTAAAAGCGCAGTCTCGGCAATAAAGTTTGTGTGAATGTGAGCATTTAAAGGTCAGAGGCCACTAAAAGAGCGGAGATGCTGACTCGGAGACAGTCGTGATTTACGCACCGCCACCAGGCTTTCTAGAAATAGGGGCTTTTACGATTATCGACAGACTCAGTTTCAAATGAAGGGTAGTTTGGAAGCATTTGATGCAGAGTCTCGTCAGTGTTTATGCTGTGGGGCGTCTTCATTGAACCCAAGGAGGAGAGAGAAAAAAACAGTTCCACATAGTAGTGCTGTTACTGTACTTTAAAAGTGTGCGCGCGTATGTGTGTGTGTGTGTGTGCTCCCAAGCTGACTTCTATTGATTCCCATTTCTTCAGATCCGGTGCATTTGTCTCTGGCTCTTTTAAAGCAGACGTGCATTTATTTCCTTCAGCTTAACACGTCAATAAAAGACCAAAAGACAGGACCGCCTGAAACTTTTAGCACTGGTCACGTGACCACCCTTGAGGCCGTATGACTGACAGGTGAAGCAACCAATCGTGTTGTGTGCTGCGTGGAAAACTCAATAATAACAGACAGCTCTGCAGCTAACATCACATACTTTACAATGGTGCATAACTCTGCTGAAGCATTTATCCGTAATTCAACATTTTAGCAAACAATAAAAAAATGAATATGGAATAGACTGATTTCACGCGCCGCCATTTTTAAAAGCGAAATCAAGCTGCGGTGGGAAGTATCGCCAGAGGTGAGTGGTAATGAATTACGTTTACTTGAGTAAAATTGTTGGGTAGCGTGTACATTTTGAGTTCACTTAAATATGTGTACTTTTACTCAAGTAAATTATTAGAGTAAATCATTACTCTTCACTATATTTGGCGGCGTTCCTCCGTTACTGTCAAAGAATAATAAATATGATTCATATGTCTTGTTTGCAAATATCGCGAGGGGCTGCATTGGAGAGGTTGTGTTGTGAGAGGTTGCTGTGTTGGCATGATGACTGAACTCGAGAAAGATGTGCGAGTTATACCAAAGTACCTTTAAGGCAAGTCATTTCACTCGGCGGCCGTCTTTGAAATGCCTCTCGGGCAGTATGCTAGCCCTGCTGAAAACTGAATGCTCACCCTACTGAAAAAAACTGCTTAAACCAGCCTAGGCTGATTCAAGCTGTTTTTTCAGTTGGGTGGGCATTCAGTCTGAATGAGGAAACAGCAAATTCTCCAAATTTACGTGCCAAGCTCACAATACCATTTCATATTACGAATAACCAATAAAATCAAACCACAGCTGTCTATATAGTTTCATTCCTTAACGTTCGTATCACACAAAATCTGCACACAAAATCCCTTACCCGGAGAATTGTCATACGATAGCGATCGATGATTGGCTCTTGTACTAGAAGGCGTGCTTTGTTAGCCATATAGCGATCACTGATTGGCTCTTGTATTAGAAGGTGGGGCTTCATTCACCATATTGACAGTTGCACTTTTCTCCAAGGAAAGATTACCAATACCATAATCAGCCACTCTAAAAACTTAATGGAAATGCACTAAATTTACTTTTGGATTTTTTTTTGTTAATTTAGAAAAGATTCCCTTTATTTTATGATTGAAAACCATTTGCAGAATAAACTGAAGTAGCGACCATTAAACCAATGTCACTCCTCCTCTATTCTATTTACTATTAGTTGCTAGGTTACCAATACCACTGTCAGCCACTCTAAACTTGATTAAAACGCACCTAATTCGCTTTTGAATTTTTTTTTTTGTAAATTTATAAAATATTCCCTTTATTTTATGATGGAAACCCATTTGCAGAATAAACTGTTCAGTAGCAATCATTAAACCAATATTTCTCTTGTTTACTATTGGTTGCTAGGTTGCCAATACCACAGTCAACCACTCTTAAAATATGATGGAAATACACCTAGTTTGCTTTTGGGATTTTTCATGAACTTAGAAAAGATTCTCTTTACTTTAGTATGGAAACCCATTTGCAGATTAACCACTGACGTAGCGACCATTAAACCAACGTCACTCCACCTTTGTTTGTTTTATTTATTATAGGTTGCTAGGTTACCAATACCACAGTCAGCCACTCTAAAAACTAGATGGAAACACACACTTTACTTTTGGGATTTTGTGCTAAAATTACCTTTGTTTTAGCATAGAAACTTGTGTGTGTTCATCTGTCCATCGGTCCCCTGACTTCTATTGATTCCCATTCCATGAAATTCAGTTTCATTTGTCTCTGGCTCTTGTAAGCAGACTTGCATTTATTTCCTTCAGCTGTGTTTTACTCATCGATAAAGGCCAAGAGACATGAACGCCTGAAACATTCAGCACCGGTCACGTGTTTCAGCTCGAGAGAGAGAGAGAGAGAAGAAAATGAGTAAAGTAGAAGTGATAAAAAGACTACGGTGTGCCGCCTGAGTCAGCAGTCACTAAAACACAGTGTTTCCATGAGATCTCTCCCGCTCCCGAGTTTATGAATACATATTGCAGGTCACTGATAAATTATGAGCTGCGTTCTGAGACGAGATGAAAGGGGGGGGAAATGATTCTGGTTGGAAATGGGTTTTGCAGAGGTTATTTGGCCATGAAGATGGAGGTGAATTCTGTTGTGGCCACATATCTGGATATCACTTAGATTTGGAATTACCTTGTGTACACTTTTCCCCCTGCAAGCTCATTATTTACCTTTGCTGTTCATGGGGTGCTTATTTTTTTCTTTTTCAAGCCTTCTCTCTTGCATTTCACAAAACTGGATGTTCTTTAATGGATGATTTCCCAGAATGCAATTGTGCTGAAACATCAGTTTGTTTGTTTTTTTTACACAATTATGCTTTTCACACTTCCAGCTTCCTTTAGTGCATAATGTTGGATGTTGAGCTTGAGATCTTGAGATATCAACAAAAATATTTAAAGCACTCTTTTACATAATGAAACTGTATTTTGGTGATGTTTTTGTGCTAGTTTAGGTCATGGACAGATAAATATGTTGGTGAATCATTCAAATGATTTTTTCAAAACGGCTGATTCATTCAGAAACAATCCAAGTGTCTTAAATGCGTCACTATCATTGACTTTCCGTTTTAGTGTGTAAAGTTGAGCTGGAGATCTGCGAAATCAACAAAAAATGTCTTATTTAAAGTACTCTTTTACATAATAAAACTATATTATGTTATTATATTATGATTATTATTATTATTATTATTATTATTATTAAGAGTTTTTGTGCAAGTTTGTCAGAGTTGAACAAATATGACACTAAAACTGTGTTGGTGAATCATTGATTCAAATGATTTGTTCAAAATGGCTGATTCATTTAGAACCAGTGCAAGCGTCTTGATGAATGCGTCATTAGATCATTGACTTTCAGCTTTAGTGAGTAAAGTTGAGCTTGAGATTTGCGATATCGACATAAAAACCTTACTTTAAGCAGCCTTTTACATAATGATACTATACTTTAAGTTTTTGTGCTAGTTTATGTCAGAGTTGAAAAAACATGAAACTAAAACTGAATCATTGATTCAAATGATTTGTTCAAAACGGCTGATTCATTCAGAAACAATGCAAGTGTCTTAAATGCGTTACTATCATTGACTTTCAGTTTTAGTGTGTAAAGTTGAGCTGGAGATCTGCAAAATCAACAAAAATTGTCTTATTTAAAGTACTCTTTTACATAATAAAACTATATATTGTTATATTACTATATTATTATAAGAGTTTTTGTGCTAGTTTGTCAGAGTTGAAAAAATATGACACTAAAACTGTGTTGGTGAATCATTTATTCAAAAGATTTGTTCAAAATGGCTGATTCATTCAGAAACAATGCGAGTGTCTTAAATGCGTCACTATCATTGACTTTCAGTTTTAGTGTGTAAAGTTGAGCTGGAGATCTGCAATATCGACATAACTTTAAGCAGCATTTTACATAATGATACCATACTTTGTTGAGTTATTGTGCTAGTTTATGTCAGAGTTGAACAAATATGACACTAAAACTGTGTTGGTGAATCATTGATTCAGATCATTTGTTCAAAATGGCTGATTCATTTAGAAACAAAGCCAGTGTCTTGATGAATGTGTTCCTGTAACATTGACTAAGCTTTAGTACATACAGTTAAGCTTGAGATATGTAATATCAACAAAAAATATCTTATTTGAAGCACTCTTTTCAATAATGAAACTATATTTTGATGTGTTTTTATGCTTTTTTAGATTAGGTTTAATTAAATATGACACAAACTGTATTGGTGAATCATTGATACAAATGTTTTGTTCAAAAGTGCTGATTCATTTAGAATGTAGAGTCAAAGCATGTGTCTTGATGAATGCGTCATTAGATCATTGACTTCCAGCTTTAGTGTGTAAAGTTGAGCTTGAGATCTGTTTTTATGCTTTTTTAGATTAGGTGTAATTAAATATGACACTAAAACTGTGTGGTTGAATCATCGATTCAATTGATTTGTTCAAAATGGCTGATTCATTTAGAATCAATGCAAATGTCTCGATTATGATGAATCATTGATTTAAATGATTTGTCCAAAAGTTTCATTGACTTTCAGCTCTTGTGTGTAAACTTGAGCTTGATCTACATTATTGACAAAAGCAATCTTATTTTAAGCACTTTTTTCAATAATGAAACTATTTTGCTGGGTTTGTGTGCTGGTTTAGGTCAGAGATAATCAAGTATGACACAAACTATGTGTAGGTGAATCATTGATTCAAATTATTTTTCAAAATGGCTGATTCATTCAGAATAAAATAAGTGTCTTGATGATAGAGGAAGGGCTAAAGGGTAGAATTGGGATTTGGCCGTAGTACACTGTCTGCTTAATATCTGTTGATACAGCTCCTTCAACAGACATCTAACTGACTATAAGAAGCTTTGCATGTACATGTCAACTTGCGCTAACCCTAACCTAACAGTCTACTTATACTCTAATGAGAATTGGTTGGCATGTAGATGTAATGTAACTTAAATTTAACAAACGGACCATCAAAATAAAGTGTGACCAAAGCGTAACAGTTCACTGCTCTTTTCTAAATAAAAAAGAGGCACACAATAAGGCAGTGCACAAGTTTTCAATTTGTAAAAATGCGTTGTGTTTGCATGATCTGTGAGATATTTTGCGCTGAAGCATCAGACATTCTAACAGTTAAAGACCGTAAAGGAGCCGCTTTAATCTCTTTCATTCTGCTTCTTTCACAGACCGTGTTTCGGATTGTGGTGCTCGGGATATGGGATTATATCGAGAACAAAGTTGAGGTAAGCTCCCCGGGGTCCCATTTAAAGAAACAGTGAATAGATGAGCCCTTGAAACTTAATGAAGGATGAGTCTGTGTCTCTCTCTCTCAATGTCACACCACATCATCAGCTGACAGACAAGCTGCCATTGGCTAATCTTACTGTTCACTGCTCTGTGATTGGCTGATTTTACCGTACATTGCTCTGCCATTGGCTATCTTAGTTTACTACTCTGCCATTGTCTGATCTTACGGTTTACTGCTTAGTGATTGGCTGATTTTACATTAATTGCTCTGCCATTGGATGATCTTACTGTTCACTGCTCTGTGATTGGCTGATTTTACCGTACATTACTCTGCCATTGGCTATCTTAGTTTACTGCTCTGCCATTGGCTAATCTTACTGTTCACTGCTCTGTGATTGGCTGATTTTACCGTACATTACTCTGCCATTGGCTATCTTAGTTTACTGCTCTGCCATTTGGCTGATCTTACTGTTTACTGCTTAGTGATTGGCTGATTTTACATTAATTGCTCTGCCATTGGCTGATCTTACTGTTCACTGCTCTAAGATTGGCTGATTTTATATTCATTGCTCTGCCATTGGCTAATCTTAGTTTACTGCTCTGCCATTGGCTGATTATATTATTCACTTAATTACGGTTCACTGCACTGTGATTGGCTGATTTTCATTTCTCTGTCATTTTCTAATCTTACTGTTCACTGCTCTGTAATCGGCTGATTTCAAAATTCATCGCTCTGTCATTGGCTGGTTTTACTGTTCACTGCTCTGCCATTGGCTGATCATATTATTCTCTTAATTATGGTTCACTGCTCTGGGATTGGTTGATCATGATATTGCCTCCCACCGATGATGACATTAGATCAGAAAGAAAATAATACAAAACATTTACTGTATGTTTAGTTGTTTAATTATATAAATAAGCTTGGTTAATTATAATTTTTAGAGGTTCTTCACCTTTAATTTGGATAGGACATTGCATGTTGGAAGCAGAGAGAGGGGAAGGGTTGGAAAAGGACCTCGAGCGGGGAATCGAACTCGGGTAGCTGTGAGCACCCTGATGCTGTATGTCAGCACACTTAACCACTAGACTATTGGCACCGACTAAGCTCAGTTTTTAAAAGTTGATTACATAAATGTCACTTCTGCATGTTTCAGGCTGAGGGTCGCTGTCATGTCTAATAATGCTGTTGTTGTTTGTTGTTTTGAGGTGTTTGACGGAGCGGTGATAGTCCTCTCTCTGGCCCCAATGGTGGCCTCCACGGTGGCCAACGGTCCCAGCAGCCCCTGGGATGCCATCAGCCTGATCATCACCCTGCGCATCTGGAGGGTCAAGAGGATCATCGACGGTAACAGCTTTAATTATATTCACCATTAATAGTAGTATATTTTTAGAATTGTTATTAGTTCTATCAAAGTAGAACTATCGAAACCTTTTTATTTTTTAATATTAATATTTAAGTTTTTTTTATTAGGTAGTTATTGTGAGTAAATATGTGCCATAAAGACTCTGAGCTCGCAATACTAAACTGGGTTATTAGTTCAGTAAAAGCATTAAAAGAAATGCCAACAATTGTTTAAACAAAGCACAGAATTATTTTACAAAATAAAAAAAACAACAGTACTAAACTATAAACAAAATAGTAAAAATAAACAAGAGTAAATACCAAAATAAAATTACCAAACAATAAACTAAAGTGCAATAAAAACTAAAAGCATGTTGTTTTAGCAAAATTATGATTTCAGTGTTTTAGTAAATTTTGTGTGTGTGTGTGTGTGTGTGTGTTTAGATAGATATATAGTTAATTTTTTTTAATCTAGATTAATCTAGATGATTAAAATGACTCATTTGAATGCTGCCGAAGGCATTCAGTTAAAGTCCGGCATCCTGCTGATTTGATTCAGAAGGGCACTGTTTTTTGTCAGACGGCTCATCGGTCAGATATACATCCGTACAAAAATATCAAAGTGAAAGTCATCATAGCTTGCGTAGAATAGACCCAGCTCCCAACCCAACTTTGAGAATAGATTAACAGTGATATTTTATCGCGCAATAAGTCACTCATTAACGCAGCATGTTAACGCAGATAACAGCCCACTAATAATACACACACACACACACACACACACACACACACACACACACACACATATACATATATATATATATGGTAACACTTTACAATAAGGTTCATTAGTTAATGCATTTACTAACATGAACTAACATGAAGCATTTATTAATCAGAATTGAACATTTACTGATGCATTATTAACATTCAAGTCCATGGTTGTTAACATTAGTTAATGCACCATGAGTTAATATGACCTAACAATGAACTACTGTATTTTCATTAACTAACGTTAACATGAACAAATACTGTAGTAAATGTGTTGTTCATTGTTTGGTTATGTTAGTAAATGCATTACTTAACATTAACTAATGAGCCTGATTGTAAGGTATGTCCATATATATATATATATATATATATATATATATATATATATATATATATATATATATATATATAT